CAATAGAGCTGAAAAAAGTAAAGATTTCCAGTGTTCTGTGAGGATTCTACTAAGGTGAGGGAAGATAAGAAAACTGCTGGAGAAATTATGTTTGTTATAAACATTGAGTTAACGCAGATTACCCACTAGTGACTTAGCGTCATCAAAAGGAATCTTTTTCTCTACATTCTTCACAACTTTTTCTATGAGCTAACTATTCAAAACAGCTCTGGGGAACTGAAAAATGAATCCTAAGACACAGATTATCCTTCATGACTGTAATATGTCTCTCACAGTGATTCAGATTCAACTGACAGTAATCTATCCCATTGTCATATCCTTATCACATACTAACCAGAAAAAAAGATAACTGTCCTTAATATGTAATCAAGTCTGATTTCATAAGAGAAGTTATAATGTGCAAACACTTAAGAAGTGGCAATTCTGGTAGGCCTCTCAATCCAGATAGTTTTGTAGGATATTTTTGCCCTTCCTGTAATATTTAATTGAGAAGAGTATTTGTCATGACATGGCAGTGACTAAGGAATGATATCACCCATTAAAAAATTGGATATTATTTCCAGTAATTCTTATGACTCATACAATTTTCTCATACATTTAAGAAATACTTTACATAACTGCTTATCCCGGAAAGGATATTTTAGAGAAAATGTAATTTAATTTAACTTTAAACTCTATTTAATTTAACTTCAATTATCCAAATGACTGCCTCACCTAAAATGTTTTTATCTACATGTTTAGTACTCTCGAGACAAAAGTACAGTCTTCATATAAACGAAAATATGGAATTGGCTTAATTATCTGATGTTGTATTAACTGTGATTTCCCTTATGTGCTGTTCATTATTTGTCAGTTATTTCTTTTTTTTTAAATTTTTTTTAATGTTTTATTTATTTCTAGGAGAGAGAGAGAGAGAGAGACAGCGCGAGCAGGGGAGGGTCAGAGAGAGAGGGAGTCACAGACTGAAACAGCCTCCAGGCTCTGAGCTGGCAGTCAGCACAGAGCCCAACGGGGGGCTCGAACCCACGAACCGCGAGATCATGACCTAAGCGAAAGTCGGACGCTTAACCGACTAAGCCACCCAGGCGCCCCTCATTATTTGTCAATTATTTCTTATAATCAAGGTTTAAAATACAAACTTTTTAAACTTAGATTTTATGATACATGTCATTCACAATTAAAATGTCAAATTGTGTGATAAGTATGTGGTATTAGTCATAGGTGAGATACGGCTTAAAGGAAGAAAAGGTATTGAGTTAATGAGAAGAATTAAAATAGATAGTAAGTTCTGCAAAGCCTTGTAGAAATGCAAACAAAATGAGAACAGTTCATCAGGATAACAACAAGAATCTCTATTAAGTGTCTACTGTGTGCCAGGCCCAGTTCTACATGCTTTACCTGTCTCATCTCATTTATTCTTCACAGGAACCCGATGAGGTAGGTTCTAGAACATTCCTATTTTACAGATGAAGAAACTAAGATACAAAGAGATAGACACCAAGTCTAAGATTACATCAGCATACAGTGGTGTTGCGACCCATGCCAAAGAAACCTGATTTCTGAGCCTACATACTTCACCACAGAAGTGTAGGAGGTTTTGTGTTTAGACCAGAAGTCTGCAGATTATGACCCTTCAGCTTGCAAACTGATAATGGTTTTCACATTTAAAAAGTTTTATTTTATTTTATTTTTTAATGTTTTTTCTATTTATTTCTAGGAGAGAGAGAGAGAGAGAGAGAGCGTGAGCAGGAGAGGGTCAGAGTGAGAAGGAGTCACAGACTCCGAAACAGGCTCCAGGCTCTGAGCTGGCAGTCAGCACAGAGCCCGACGCGGGGCTCGAACCCACAAACCACGAGATCATGACCTAAGCGAAAGTCGGACGCTTAACCGACTAAGCCACCCAGGCGCCCCCACAGTTAAAAAGTTTTAAAGGAAACTAATATTTTTGTGACACATGAAAATTAAATGAAATTAAAATTTTGTTTATAAATAAAGTTTTGTTAGAACACAAACACATTCATTTGTTCCATATTGTCTATGGTGGTTTTCACGTTTTAACAGCCAAGTTAAGTAACAGCAGTGGACACTGTATGACCCACAAAGCCTAAGGTATTTACTACCTGGCCCCTTATAGAAAAAACTCACCAACCTTTCTGTGAACCACGAGAGTGAAGAAAACTAAGAACAGAGAATTTGAGCAAATGCCACAAACGATCCATCCAAATGGAGTATGAGTCACTCAAGTTTTACCTGGCAATGGGGCCTCATCTCATGAACATGAGGTTAATGAGAGAAACCACATGCATTAAGTAAATAGCTATCCGAGGAAATAGGTGTCCAGCCTGCTCTTTCTGGAGCAGAGCTGTGGGAAGGAGTTTGGGAAAGGTCTGGGCAACAGGAAAGGATAAGATCAAGAAGGCTAGAATTGTGCCCCCAACCTTCTGGATACAGAACAACATATCTGCTGTTTCTCCCACTGATTTGCTCAAAACCTAAGCAACTAAATCAAGGAAGGACAAAAATCTCATCTATCTATCACCATCATTACCTGGAAGGGATTTTGGACTGGGGGACGGCAGAGATCTTCCTGGAGGCTGGGTTAGGAGTGAGGGAGTTATAAATGGACTTGGTAGAGCAGCGGTGCTACATGCCCAGTCTCAGTGGGAGGAGGGCAGAGAGGCCCTCTTGTGTGTCAAAGGAACTGTAAACCCATGTGACCTTGCTGTAAAGTGGCAGTGTTGCTGACAAACTATGTGTCTTGACTGGGAAATGGTCTTTCAGTAGATTGTGTTTTCTGACATTATTAAGATCACTCCCAAAGAGAGATTACCTGAAGATATTCCAATTCCTGGAGAAGATCAGATACCAAAGATTTATGTAGTATCATTGGTCTGGATGGGCTCCCATGCTGATACATTTGTACTAAGACTTGTGAAGTGGGTCAGGCTAATTATTACAACACCGGAGATGCCAGTCATGTTGTTCATGATTTCCAAAATACTTTCTCAAATGATTAGGTTTTCTATAATGATGAACAATATCCTCTATAGGATCATGTACATACACAAAAGCACATCTGTCAAAAGTGGGGAAATGATCAGTGTGTGGTATCATCAGTTTGGAGAACATAGCAGGATGTGGGGTCTAAACTACTAGAATGATACACAAGTAAATGCCTCTATATTAAAGTTATATTTGATCAGTTTCTAGGCCTTTCTTTTCAGCACAGATTGTGAAATACCCAGAAGTTTCACTGAGAAAATACAACTGTCTGTGCCAGTAGCCATTGGTGTCAGCTAGGGAAATGCAGTTCAGCATAACCTGGGCATCTCTCTGGAAAGGAGCCAGCTTCCCCTCTCCCAGGATATTACATCAGTGTTTCCCAGACTCGTGTGTGTATCAGAGTCACCAAAAGTTCTTAAAAGCACAGATTCTTTAGTACCATCCCTGAAAAGTGTAATTTGGTGGGTTTAAGGTGCATCCCAGAAATCCAAACTATTGTAACGTTCCTCAGGATTTCGAGCCACTGGCTTATGCTTCTGTTATTTTTCTAAGTACCTGACTGGATAATCTTCATATAACTATGTGTGGGTCAGATTTTCCCTAACTTTTTGGAGAAATCTGTAATAATAGCTTCACAAAAGTAATAATTGCCAATACGTTCCCAATAGCACCAAAGAGAAACTCTCTAACTCCTAGTCAGAGAGAATGGAAATGCTAGCTTCAGCAATGCCTGTAGTTGGCAGAATAACACCTCCCCCACCCACCAAATATGCCCGCACCCTAATCCTCAGAGCCTGTGAATATGTTATGTTATGGAGAAGAGAATTAAGATTGCAGATGGAATTACAGTTGCTAATCAGATGACTTTAAAATAGGGAGATTATTCTGGATTATACAGGTGGGCCCAATGTAATCACAGGAGTCCCTAAAGTGGAAAAAGAAGGTAGAAGAGGGAGAGCCAGAAAGATGATGTCATGAGAAGGACTTGACCCCACATGGCTAACTGTGAAGATGGAAGGGGCCACATACCAAGGAATGTGGGTGCCCTAGAGGCTGGAAAAGATAAGAAAGTAGATTCTTCCCTAGAATCTCATGAAGGAACACAGCCCTGCCAACATCTTGATTTTAATCCTGTAAAACACTTAGGAATTTCAGAACTGTAAGATAATACATTTGTGTTGCTTTAAGCGCCTGAATTTGTGGCAACAGCAGCAACTAATGCTTTAGCCTTTAGTGTTGCAGTAATCAACTTACTGTAGGATGTGCAAATATAAAACAGACCACTGTCTTTCTACCCATCCAACCCAGACCCCTCATTGCTCATTTATTTCAATTCTCTTTCCATTGTACTTACATGTGATTCCAGAATCTTCTTCATCTCAGGGATCCAGATAGTCACTACCAGCTGATTATAGCAGACACAAGCATTATAACCTACAACTATCCTTGACTTAATACCTCTTGTAACTATGATCTCTAAAGCAGTTAGAGTATGAGAGTAATGATATAAGTTGTATGCATCTTTCTCAATTTGCATAAAAGTCTAGAGTAGATGCTACTAATATTCATGAATGCACAATGTTCTTGGAGCTAATGTCAGGAAGTTGATTAATTCACTAATTCAATAAGTACTTCCAAAATGTCCTAGTGTAGGTATTGGGAAGCTGACGTTGAAAATACAGGTTTGATCCTTACCCTTTAAAGGAGTTTTCTCTCAAATTCAATGTTTCTCAAAGTGTAGCCCATCAGATAGATGATGAATCAGTTAGCTAGTACTGTGTAACAAACCACCCCCAAACTCAGTGACTTAAAACAAAAGGCATTTATTATTGCTCCATGGGTCAGCTGGCCAGTTCTGGTGATCTGGACTAGTTGGCCTGCCTTTGCTTGGTCTTACACATGGGTCTGAAGTCACTGGAAGTCAGCAGAAGGTTGTCTGGTTTAGGAAGCCTCATCTGCTTTGGTTAACCTCCATGTGATCTCTCATCCTTCTGCAGGATGGCCTGACCTTATTGATCTGGAACTCCCAGGGGTCCAAGGAAATGAATGAAAGCAAGAAAGGCCTCTTGAGGCCTCGACTCAGAGCTGGAAAACTTGTCATTTTCATCATTTCTATTGGTCAAAGCAAGTCACAAGACAAGCCCAAATTCAAAGGTGGATAGATTCTACCTCTTGATGGAAGGAGCTAAAAAGTTATGTTTCAAGAGTCTTGGATAGAAAGAGGTACAGGACACCGGGGCCATTTTTGTAATCAATCTAACTGGTTTGTCAGTTTCAGCAAAGAATGTGATAAAACAATTTGTTCGCCTACATTTGACAAATTTGAGGTGTAAAACTTATTAGAATTCTCCAGAAATTCCTTTCCCTTGTAAGAACTGTGACTAAATGTGGTACAGGTGGACCCTGCATTTTGTCTCAGCACCATTTCCTTCCCAGAGAACAATTCTTCTAGATTAATGTATTAATGGATTCTCTCTCTCTTCCTCTCTCTGTATCTCAAAATAAATAAGTAAAAAAAAAAAAAAAAAAAAAAAAAAACTAAAAAAGTAAAAAAAAAAAAAAAAAAAAAAAAAACCCAACAACTTAGATTTTACTAAATCAGCATTCATTTATCTTGAATGCCTTGATCTCTAGTCTGCAGCAAGATTACCATGAATATTTTGCCCAAAGGGGAATTCATGATACTACCTTTTTCATATTTTCAAATAATACATGGATATGCTCAAGTAAATAAACTGTTTTTCTCCACAGAACAAGTAAAAACTAATGTTTTCCAAGACAAAATCAATTAATTTTGCCACAAAAGGCAGAAATCAACTCAAGACTATTCAGGCATTATTTAAAATTGCACTTCTTAAGCAAAAACAGTTTCAAATCACACTGTCACATGGGGAAGCTGTAAAAGCAACTTCAATAATAATGGTACATATTATTTTTGGACAGAAAGCAAAAAATGAGTTATCAACCACATTTCCTTATCAGATGACATTGTTGTATGTTGTATGTTATGTAGAATCAATGGCAAACCATGCAAAATTATTATTCTGAGCATGCTGGAGACATGTGCCCATTACTCTCAGACAGCGTCACTTACACGCAGAGTAGGAATTGGTTCCTGACACATGTGCACAAAGCACACGTGCTTTACATATTTTTTGTCTAGTTCATCACTGAGTTTGCACATAGTGATTATTTCATGAGCCATAACACAGACTGAGAAAGATTCACTGGAGTAAAGAAGGACAGAACACCTCCAGATTTACAGCAGGGAAGAGTGTGGTTCTCAATCTATCAGAGGTAGCACCATACTCCCAGGCCTGCTTGCCTCACATGCAATCCTCCCCATCTGACTTAATGCAGCTCCAGCTTTCCAGTTATTGAAGTCAAAAATTTGGAGTCATTCTTAGCTCATCTCCATTTCCCAAACTCCCATCCAAATCCTATCCTTCCTACCTTCAAAATATATCTAGCATCTGGGCAAGTCTCACTATTTCAATTGTTGATATGACAAGGTTCTGGGGTTTACTCATCCCCAGGACCTATGAAGTAACTAGGAAGCATCACCTACTTATGCAGACAATAACTGCCTAACTACTGCAAGATGCATGAGTAAATTACTAGGATCAAAATATTAAGAGGATGGGGGCACCTAGATGGCTCAGTCGGTTAAGCATCCAACTCCTGATTTCAGGTCATAATCTCATGGTTGGTGAGTTCAAGTCCCGTGTCAGGCCTTGTGCTGACAGCTCAGAGCCTGCTTGGGGTTTTCTCTCTGTCCCTCTCTCTCTTTCTCTCTGATTGTCCCCTGCTCGCTCTCTCTTTCTCAAAATAAATAAACATTAAAAAAATATCAAGAGTATGTTAATTAATAGAATCATCAGGTTCATGGGTATGTTTCATAAGATTTAACTCAACAAATAGTTTCTGAGCACTTAGTATGGGTCAGGCATGTAAATTTTTTTGATGTTACTGACATATAATTTACATACAAGAAAACACAGGCATTTTAAGTATAGTTCAATTAGTCATTCCAGCACCATTGGTGGAAAAGACTATCTTTGCTGTATTGTATTTCCTTTGCTCCTTTATCAAAGATCTGTTGACTGTATTTTTGTGTGTCTATTTCTGGGCTCTCTATTATGTTCCATTGATCTATTTGTGTATTCTTTTGCCAAGATAGCACTGTCTTGATTATCGTGGCTTTGTAGTAAGTCTTGACATAGGGTAGTGCCAGTCCTCCAAATTTGTTCTTCTCCTTCAATAAATATTGTGTTGGCTATTCTGAGTCTTCTACCTTTCCATATATACTTTAGAACTGGTTTGTCAATATCCACAAAATTTCTGAAATTTTGATTGAGATTGCATTGAATTGATAAGTCACATCAGGGAGAGCTGAGATCTTGACAATACTGAGTCTTCCTATCCATAAACATGAAATACCTCATTTATTTAGTTAGTTCTTTTTTGTTTTTGTCTAACAGAGTTTTGTAGATTCCCTCATGAAGATGTCTTTTGAAGAGGAGGATTCTTAATTTTCATGAAATCCAGTTTACCTATTTTTTTAATAGAATATATTGTTTACTTCCTGGCTAAGAAATCTTTACTTACCCGATGGTAGTAAAGATTTTTTCCTATGTTTTCTATTAAAATGTTTTAATTTTAGCTTTTGCATTCAGATCTCACCCTCAGCACTTGATTTGATTTGGCTTTTTTATTTTTTTAAGTACTCTCTATTCCCAATGTGGGGCTCAAACCCATGATCCCAAGATCAAGAGTCATACGTTCTACCCACTGAGTCAGCCAGGTACCCCTCTCAGCACTTTAAATAAGCAATTTCATGGTCAGCTTGTTTGCTTCTGTTGAGAAATCTGTAGTCATTATCTTTGTTTTCTCTGTACAGGATGTCTCTTTTTACCCCTCTGCCCTTAAGATTTTTTTTTAGTCATTGGGTTTCAGCAATTTTACTACAGTGTGCCTTTGTACACATTGATTGATTTATCCTGTTCAGGATTGTAGCTACCATTTTTTAAGTCAATATTGGAAATTTTCAGCCACTATTTCTTTAAATGTTTTACTTGACATCTGCTCTAGGAATCCAATTATGTGTCCATTCAGCTGCCTATTTTTCCACAGATCACCAATGCTTTATACAGTTTTTCAACTTTTTCTTCTCACCGTACTTCAGTTGGGATAGTTTTGATTGCCATATCTTCAACTTACTGGTCTTATCTTCAGCAGTGTATAATCTGCTATTAAATCCGTACTTAATAATTTCTATTCTTCAACTCCTTGTGTCCATGTTTTCCTTTGAATCTTAAATATATTTATACAAGCTATAATGGCTATTTTAAAGTTCTTGTCTGCTAATTTTATAATCTCGATGAGTTCTGGATCTCTTTCTCTTAACCTATGAGTCATATTTTTCTTCTTTGCATGCTAATAATTTGAGATTAGATGCTGGGCATTTATCATTTTACATTATTGAGCTCATTATTTTCTTTTATTAAAGAGAATTGTAGGTGTTTATTTGTTTATTTATTTGGAACAGGCCGTGAACTTAATTGCAGATCAGTTTGAGCTTTTTCAAGTTTGTTTTTATGGTTCTTTACACTAGGTTGAGATTAGCTTTTAATCTTGGGCTGTGCTAACCACCTCCCTAAGGCATGGCTTTTTGGGGCGGGGGGGGGGGGTTGTCTGCTGGAAGCCTTTATTGTTCAATGAAATCTCTTACTTCATCAGGCTGAGGAGTGCCTCCCAACTGTGTGCTAGGAGGTGTTCAGATTATAAATTCTCTCAATGGTTGGTCGTTCCCGAAGAGTTGTTACTTGATCAGCCTTGTGGAATTTTACTATTTACCTGCACAGCTTAGCATTCATCCAGAGACTCAGGTCAATTTCTGAAACTCTTTATCTTCGTAGCTTCCTCCTCTCCAGTACACTGCTCTGTAAATTCTAACTACTTTAGCCTCCCTGAACGCTGACTCCTATTTCCTCACCTCCGTGAGTCTTCCTTGCCTTTCTTGGAATCTCCCTTTCTGTGCTGGTGTCCAGGAAATGCCTCTGGACATATATGTGGAGTGATTAGAGGACTCAGCTCATTTGTTTTCCTTTTTATTCACTTATTACCATCTTGTATTACTTATTGCCCAATCTTTGAAAACCATTGATTCATGTATTTTATTTATGATAAAAATAAATACCATTTGCTATAAAAACTAGTATACCAGTTGCTCCCCTGTGGTTAGAAGTAGAAGTGCCTCAGCTTATAATTTTTGAAATGACTTTACTACTTGTCTTACAAGGTTGGTTATGAAATATGTATGTGTATCTGTCTCTAGTTTTGCCTGCTTCTCTGTGAGGATCCTCAAATAACTTCTCATTGTTTCATCCCAACAATATCTTAGGTATACAACAAAAAGGAGGATTTTTTTGGTACAAATTGTTAATCATTTTTTCTGCTTTTGCTTTTGCTTGCTCTTTGTCCCCCTTTCATTACATCTGCCAGGATCCAAGCTATGATCTCTGGGTCTGCAGAGTTTTGCATTTCTGACTATTTGCTCTTTTCCTTCTCAATGACTTCGGGAAACTCATACTGTTCTGTTCTAAGTACCCTATAGTTGGATCCCATTCAAACTTCTTGAGAGTTATTATCATGAAAGGAGTTTAGATTGGCTGGGAAATTGGCCACATGTGTATGCAACCAGGTTCTAAACCTCAGAGAAGCTAACCAGATTTTTAAAGGCTTATTTGTGATGTTACAAAGAATAAGTATAATCTAGAATTGTGTTATCCAATATGATAGGTACTAGCTGCATGTGGCCATTGAGCACTTGAAATGTGGCTAGTGCCACAGGTTGGAATGATCGTATTTTGGGTATTTTAGATTAAACAAATTATTAAAATATATTTCACTTATTTTTTTACCCTTTTAGAATGTGGCTTACAGTATGTTCCTAATGGGCCGTGCTGATCTAGAAGGCACAGAGCAGGGGAGGGGAAATGGGGTTTTAAGAAGGGCAATAGCATAACCAGTCTGCATTTTTAACCTGACTGCCAAGTAGTGTGTAGAAGACAGACAAAAGATGGGACAGTCTGAGGGCAAAAGAAACATTTCAAAGACTACTATGAAGACCCAGGAAAGAAACAATTATCATATTCAATGTCACAAAAGTTGTATCTCTATTTGATAAAGTTGCCATTTGCTGCATTAGTTGTAGGGAAGCAAAATACAAATAAAATAGGTTATCCAAAATATACATATGTGACTTTGGTTTGGAAAGCAGAGACTCAGACTTAGCACCTCCTGCTGTACCCCTTCTTGACCATTTTTTAGATCAACTCTAGACGAACACAGTCCAGTAGAAATTGGCCTTCTGTGGATTCACACAAACAAGTAATCTGGAGTCGGTGGAAAGAATTTGTCCCTCCAGACTTGGGTCTGCTCATTACCAACCATGTGAACCTGGAGAGTTTGATTAAACACTCTTGAGTCTCACCATTTGCATCAGAAAAATAGGTAAAACTTCCACAGGTTCTGTGGGAGATTAAAATAAAAAACTTGACAAGTATGTCAAACTAAATAATTAATGCTATAAAATTATAGGTATGCTTGCTTTTCTATTCCACAAAGTAAACTGTTTTCGTGCACAATGGAGGGGGGTTGATCGTAATTTCACTCCCTTGGGTCTGTGTGAAATAAGCCCCCTCACATTTGGCAAAGTGGTTGCTCTGGACAGTGTGAGGAAAATCAACCCCCGAATCAGCATTCTTCTGCTCAGAGCAGTCTGGCATCCTCAGGTGAGCATGCTCTGACTCCCACTGGTGGCCCTGGCAAGAACCTGAACTGGATAAAGAAGGACAGGACAGGATCTCTGAAGGCTAAGTAAACAAGTCCCCGTTTGGCCACCATGCTGGTTATCTGGCCACACAGGTGCCCCAGGGCTTTTCTTTCCCTCACTTGCATTTGATATCACAAGGTTTCCAGAATCAGAGCCTAAACATATGTCAATATTTAACCCCTCTGCAAACACTGCCACTGGATTAGAAACTTCCCAGTTGGACATTTTTATTTTTAAATGTCCAAGGTTTTAGAGTCAAAGTTATGTCAATGTTATGTAACGCTCTGCTGAGTTCCGGAGACATGAGATGATTTTTCTATGAAAGTCTGTTTTCAATGTGATGTGACACCTGGGAGTGGAAAGCCAAGGCTCTCTCGTCATTTATAGGACCCACCTCCGAGCCCATGATCCTGCGATGCACGGAGTAACAAAGGCTAGTGGAGAGCAGGGTTTGGGTGATAGCTCCAACCCACCTACCCACAGTGCTCGAGAGCTCCCTACGTATCCAGCACCCTGAACTGCTCCAACTATACTTAAGTTACATCTGTGAGCCCAGGCAGCACTGGGTGACTTTTCACTAAACCCTGAGGTATTATATGGCTTCCGATTGCTTGTAAAACAATGGTCACTGTCAGGGATTAAATTGAAACAAAATGCCCATTAGAATTAAAATTCTACAAAAACGGAGTGAAGAATTGAGCGATTATTTTCTTATAATCCAGTAACTAGCAGGAAAGGGGAATTTTAAAACCAAAATTTGAAAAACAACTGTCAAAGTGTTAATATTTTGTATGAATACCATCCAGATCTCATGGTAGGGTATACGACCAAGGACTCAATGTTTGGTAACTGAACTGTTCTTGAAAGTAGAGGAAATCATTGTACAACAAAATAATCTCTACCGGTTGAGGTAATACTAGTTGTTATAACCCTGAAATATCAGTGGCTTAAATCAATAGGAATTTATTTCTAGCTCACGTAAATTTCAGAATGGATGTTCATGATTCATGTGTGACTTTCTATGAAGCAGGAAACTCAAGCTCCTTCCATTTTGTGGCCCTGACAGCTTCCACACATGGCCTTCAAGATCATGATACTTGTCTACATCAAGCCATGGAAGGTAAGGCACATGGAGGATCATGTGTGGGTTTATGTGAACAGGACTGGAACTGGTGCATATCTGTGAACTCACATCTCATTGGACAGAAGTTGATCGTGTAGCCCATCTCCCTGCAAAGGAGATTGGGTAATAAAGTCTAGTTCTATTCGCTATAGGAAGAAGCCAACAGTCTCTACCACACACTCTATAAACAGACATTCCTAGATCACATGTTAGTGATCTCTAGGAAACAATATGGTTCATAAAATTTTACAGCCCAGCTAAAGAGTTCAGCAAGATTGAATTTAGAGGAAGTCATTCATCCAGAACTGACATGAGAGACTGCTGATGATGTACAATTCTCTTCTTAGCTTTCATAACAGTTTGGGAAATTGAATCTTCTCAAAACATTCTAAAATTTCAACCTATTTCAGTTTATAAAATAATTGCCCATGACCTCTAGTCTCACATTCAGAATTTGGTGACTTTTAGTTCTAATTCTACAGCCCATATTGGATAAAAGTCACCCAAATGATGGATTAAATTTTGTACCATCTAAAATGCCAACCTAGAAATTTGGTGTGAATTATTTGGTAATTCACACAGAATGTATTTTGCTTCATAGTAAAATGCAGAGTAAACATTGGCTCATTTTTTTTAGTTTGTTTGCTTGATTGTTTTCAGTAAAATAAGATTCAGAAATTTACAGTTTTTTATGATAAGACTGTGTAGGAAGTTGTTCTGGAGCAATTATGCAAACTAAATTCCTTTTCATTTCATTTCATTTCTTATTTATTTATTTATTTATTTGTTTTAGAGAGAGAGAGCAAAAGCAGGGGAGATGAGGTGAGGGAGGGGGAGAGAGAATCTTAACTAGGTTCCACGCTAAGCACAGAGCCCAATGCCAGGCTCAATCTCATGACCCTGAGATCATGACCTGAGTCAAAAGAGTCAGACTGTCAACTGACTGAGCCACCCTTGCACCCCTTGAATTGTTTTTCATATTCATTTCCTCATTTGTTCATTCATCCAACAAAGGTGTGTTTAGAGTCAGCTATATATCAAGTGGGCTAGATGCTGAGTGAGGAGTAATAACAAGGCCCAGAGAATTTAATCCTTCTCAGACTTTATGACCCACAACTGACTGTGATTGATATCAAATGAGAGAGGTTAAAAAGAGAGGTGTTCTTAGAGGGAATAAGGAAACCAACCCAATCAGGGCTGGAGAAGGATCCCTAAGGAGGGGATTGAATGCTGAGACAAGAAGGATTCAGTGGGAATTTGGCTCAACTCCAACCCATGGAATTCCTTCCTGGTGTCTTCTGTTCTGATTTTAACATCTCTTTGCCCAACTTTTTGGAAACTTCCTTCATACAAAAATAATGTCATTGCTTTTTTCTGTACCTGTAACCTTTGCCAGGGAACTGAATTGTTATTTGACCATTTTTGACCTGCAAACATCGCAATTCCATATGGTCCAGCTTATATTGGTGATGGTATCAGGCTGAATGGTTCTAATATCTTAAAATTATGGTATCCCGTTACAGTGTTTTTAAAATTTATTTTAGGCAATCTATCACCAACTGAACACATTTCTGTTCTTTTCCATCAAATGCTTCTCTCTCAGATTATTTTCCTTTGACCATTATTTTTCCAAGTTGAATTTTATTTTTCTCTCTTATTCATAATTTTATTTGATGGTGAGGTCACCAGTTCCACCTCTTTGCTGTTGGAAGTACCCCATCTCCTTTTGTCAGTTCATTTATTCTTTTCTCTATGATATTTTTGAAAAATAAACTAGTTCCATGGACTATCAAAATAAAATATCAACGGCTTCCCTAAAAGGAATGAACACTCTTGAAGAATTGCTTCTAATTTCATGCTTTTGATGGTAAGGCAAGGTTATACAAAAACTGCTCAAGCTGGTAAGCTTTCACTATTTGTTTTCAAGACTGCTGCTTGAGAATTGGGCAGACTAGAACCTTCACTACAGGGCAGACTAGAACCTTCACTACAATGAAATTATGGTGATTCGGAGCATTACATAATCTCATTGAGACAGAACAGTCTGTATGAACCCTTTTCTCATCTTCCCACAAGTACTATGGAAAACTTGACCTACTCTATCATTCTTGGTTTATTTATGATTAAAACCAGAAATGCATACTTGGAACTTCCTCTCATGCCACTGTTCCATGGAACTTCTCAAAGAGATAAGGTTTGCTTATAAAAGGACGTTTCAGGCGCTACCTGCTTGTGCGTGGAACCTGACGGAACTGCCACGGTGAGTCAGGAAAACATATTTTCCAAGCCCTAATTTATTAGAATTTACTGATTTTCCCCCAGAAGTCTAACTGAACTTGAATTAAGCCAATCTTTTTAAAAACCTATTTAGTCAGACTCAATCATATTTTTAACTTTATTTAGATGCTGCTAATCTGGACACTATCAGTGCTGCTGGGAGTAGCAATAGGTAAGAAAAGATATTTATGCAGTGCTGGAAGAGATTTCCTGCTTGGTACTGCCAAGAAAGTCTATCATGCCTGAATTTGAGCCACTCGGGGATAAGGCGTGAGTGAGAAAGTTGCATGATTGGGAGCACAGACCCCTGGAGTAAGGTTGCCAGATAAAATCTAAGATATGCAGTTAAGTTTGAATTTCAGGTAAACAACAAGTATTTCAGATAACCAATGAATATGTGGCAAAGTTATACTGAAAAGTATGCACTGTCTACCTGAAACTCAAATTTAACTTTTACTTTTATTTGCTAATCTAGCAATCCTGACTTGGAATCCAGTGTGGGGTTTGAACCCTTGCTCCACCAGCCATGACTGTATTACCACCAGCAAAATTCTTAACCTCTGTGTGCTTCACTATCTTCATCTGTAGAATGGGAATATAATACCACCCCTTACACAGGCTACCTGTGGGACTTACATAAGACGAGTCCTGTAAATCATCTTGCCTGGTACCTGGCACATAGTAACGTTCTGCAAATGCAGCCCTCACAACAGCTACTACTACTACTACTACTACTACTACTACTACTACTACTACTAATCCAGACCTCATCCTCCTAGACATACCTTCTTTTGTGTTGTTCTTTTATGGGTTAGCATTCAAGTATAGAGTTGTGTCAAACCATGGATTTTCTATTTGATTATTCATAAGCAGCTTCTTCATCGTGGAATCCAAACCTCTCCTCACACATTTGGGGACCAAAGTACTTAGCCAGGTAGAGATATAATGTTTTGGTATTTGCATGAAACTTAAACTCTCTACTCAAAGCCCAACACCAGAAGGTGGCTGTGAGGAGCTGAAAACCTCACCCCTCTCTACCAAGGCCTGGAAATACAAGGCTGCTCTTTTCTTGGGCACCAGTGGCCCAAGGAAGACATGTGCATTGAGAAGCTAGACTGAGTTCCAGCATGAGCTGGATAGAGACAGAGTGGAGTGATGTGACCATACATTGTAGAAATGAAGACCAGAAGTCTGGGACATTGAAGCTGTTTTGTGAGTGCATAGATAGCAATATGTCTGGGAATATGGAGGAAGTTATTGTGGGCACAAAACTTAATTTAACTTATATTTTGGAAGAGAGGCCATTAAAAAGGGCATTCTGATTAAACTGACATCCTTGAAACACTTCTGGGTAATTACAGGAAGAGAAGTCTGCTTCCAAAGACTTGGCTGCTTTAGCGATGATGCCCCATGGGCAGGAATTGTGGAAAGACCCCTCAAAATATTGCCCTGGGCACCAAAAGATGTCAACACCCGCTTCCTCCTATACACTAATGAGAACCCGAATAACTTTCAAGTAAGAGAACTCATTGTTTTCAGAACTAAGTCCTATCTATTTTATGTGATAAGAAAATATATTTTTAAGTTTTGTATAGAGAACACATTAGTGGAATTTGCATCATTATAGACTTTTGGGGCAGTGAGGCTAAGTATTATTTTACATAGCTTACTTATAAAAGGTCCACTAACTTGGTATTATTCTCTCTTTCTGTTTTAATTTAGATTCACTTTATTTTCTATTGAAGAATAATTCACATACAATATTTCATGCATATCAGATGTATCACATAGTGATCCATTGCAAAATGATCACCACAATAAGTCTAGCTACCATCTATCACCATACAAAGGTGTTACAATATTATTGACTATATTCCCTATGTTGTACATTACATCCTTCCGTCTTATTTGCTACTGGAAAATTGTACCCCTTAATCCCCTTCACCTATTTCATCCATCCCCCACACCTCCCTCCTCTCCAGCTACCATTTTAGTTTGCTCTCTGTATTTATGAGTATTTTTCTGTTTTGTTTTGTTTAATCATTTGTTTTGTATTTAAATTCACAAATAAGTAAAATCATATGGTACTTGTCCTTCTCTTTCTAACATAACACTCTCCATAGTCCATCCGTATTGTCATCAATGGCAAGCTTTCATTCTCTTTTATGACTAATATTCCATTATGTGTAATGTATTATGTATATATATCATACATATCTTCTTTGTCCATTCATCTATCAATGGACATGTAGGTTGATTCCATATATTGGTTATTATAAATAATACTGCAATGAACATAGGAGTGCATACGTATATTCAAATTGATGTTTTCATGTTTTTCAGATAAAAACCTAGAAATGGAATTGCTGGATTATATGGTAGTTCTATTTTTAATTTTTTTTAGGAACCTCCATACCATTTATAATGGTGACTGCACCAATTTACAATTCTGCCAACACTGCATGAAGGCCCCCCCTTTCTCTACATGCTCACCAACACTCGTTAATTCTTTGTCTTTTTGGTAATAGCCATTCTGACAGATGTAAGGTGGTATCTCTTTATGGTTTTTATTTGCATTTCCTTGATAATGAGTGCTGTTGAGCATCTTTTCATATGCCTATTGGCATCTATATGTCTTCTTTGGAAAAAATGTCTATTCAGGTCCTCTGCCCGTTATTGAATCTGTTTTGATATGGAGTTGTATGTGTCCTTTATATATTTTGGATGTTAACTCCTTATTAAATATATCATTGGCAAATATCTTCTCCCATTCAGTAGACTGCCTTTTCATTTTGTCACTGTTTTCCTTTGTTGTAAAAGTCTTTTTAGTCTGATGTAGTTCCATTTATTTATTTTTGCTTTTGCTATTCTTGCCAGAGAAGACAGATCCAAAACTTATTGCAAAGATTGAAGTCAAAGAACCTATAGCCTATGTTTTCTTCCAGAAGTTCTATGGTTTCAGGTCATACATTTTGTCTTTATTCTGTTTTGAGTTTATTGTTGCACATGGTGTAAGAAAGTGTTAGTTTCATTGTTTTTCATGAGGCTCTCCCACATCATTTATTGAAGAATGTCTTTGCCTCACTAGATATTCTTGCCTACTTTGTTGTAGATTAATTAACCATGTAAGTGTAGGTTTATTTCTGGGCTCTCTGTTCTGTGCCATTAATCTATTTTTCTGTATTTGTGCCAGTACAGTGATGTTTTCATTAGTCTAGCTTTGTAGCGTAGTTTGATATCAAGAGTGTGATACAACTTTGTTCATCTTTCTCAAGATTACTTTGGCTACTCAGGGTCTTTTGAGGTTGCATACAAATTTCAAGATTTCAAGATTATTTTTTCTAGTTCTATGAAAAATGCCATTGATTTTTTTATAAAGATTGCATTGTATCTATCTATTGCTTTGGGTAGCATGAATATTTTTAATAACATTACTGCTTCCAATCAATGAGCAAGGTAATCTTTCCATTTATTTGTGTTGCCTTCTATTTCTTTCATCAGTGTCATTGTTCAGAGGACATATCTTTCACTTGGTTATAATTATTCCTAGGTATTTTATTCTTTTTGATGTAGTCACAAATGAGATTGTTTTCTTAATGTCTCCTTCTGATAGTTTGTTATTAATGTGTAGAAATGTAATAGATTGGGACACATGGGTGGCTCAGTTGGTTGAGCAACCAACCCTTGATTTTGGCTCAGGTCGTGACCCCAGGGTTGTGGACTGAGCTCTGCATTGGGGTCTGCACTGAGAGCAGAGCCCACTTAAAATTTGATCTTTCTCCTTCTATCCCTCTCCTGTTTGCATGTTCCCGCTCCCTCTCTAAAAATAAAAAATAAAAATAAATAATAAGAAGAAACACAACAGATTCCTGTAAACTGATTTTGTATCCTGCAACTTCACTGAATTCATTTTTGGTTCTAGTAGGTTTTTTGGTGGAGGCTTTAGGGTTTTATATAAATAGTATCTTGTCATCTACAAATTGTGACAATTTTACTTCTTCCTTTCCAATCTGAATGACTTGTATTTCTTTTTCTTGCCTAATTGCTGTGGGTAGGACTTTAATACTATGTTGCATAGAAGTGGCAAAAGTGGGCACCCTTGTTTTGTTCCTGATCTCAGAGGGAAAAAGCCTTTAGCTTTCTTTTCATTGTTCAGAATGATGTTAGCTGTGGGTTTGTCATATATGTCTTTTATTATGTTGAGATACATCTATTCTATGCCCAGTTTGTTGAAGTTTCATCATAAATGGAAGCTGAATTTTGCAAAATGCTTTTTCTGCATCCATTGAGATGATCATTTGATTTTTATTCTTTGTTTTATTAGTGTGGTGTATCACACTGATTGATATGTGGATATTGAACCATCCTTACATCTCTGGAATAAATCCCACTTGATCATGTTACATGATCTTTTTAATGTATTGTTGAATTCAGTTTGCTAATAGCTTGTTGAGAATTTTTTTAAATATTTTTACTTATTTCTAGGAGAGAGAGAGAGAGAGACAGCGTGAACAGGGGAGGGTCAGAGAGAGAGGGAGACACAGACTCTGAAACAGGCTCCAGGCTCTGAGCTGGCAGTCAGCACAGAGCCCGTCGCGGGGCTCGAACCCACGAACCGCGAGATCATGACCTAAGAGAAAATCGGACGCTTAACCGACTAAGCCACCCAGGCGCCCCTCTTGTTGAGAATTTTTACATCTATGTTATCAGGAATATTGGCTTGTAATTTTTTTTGTAGTGTCTGGTTTTTGTATTAGAATAATGCTGACCTCCTAGAATGAGTTTAGAAGCATCCTTTCCTCTTCAATTGTTTGGAATAGTTTGAGAAAGACGGGTATTAACTTTTCTTTAAATGTTTGGTAGAAGTCACCTGTGAAGCGTCTGGTCTTGGACTTTTGTTTGTTGGGAGTTTACTTACTAATTCAATCTCCTTATTAGTAATCAGTGTGTTCAGTTTATATTTCTTCCTGATTTAGTCTTGAAAGATTGTATGCTTCCAAGAATTTTTTCATTTATTCCAGGTTGTCCAATTTGTTGGTATATAACCAACTAGTAGTCTCCTATGATCCTTTATATTTCTATGGTATCAGTTGTAACTTCTTTTTCATTTCTCATCTTATTTATTGGCCCTCTCTGTTTTTTCTTGAAGGGTCTAGCTAATAGTTCATCAATTTTATTTATCTTTCATTCAAAGAACCAGTTTTAGTTTTATTGATCTTTTCTATTGTTTTTTTTTTAAGACTCTATTGCATTTATTTCCATTCTGGTCTTTATTATTTCCTTCCTTCTACTAAATTTGGGCTTTGTTTGTTCTCCTTTTTCTAGTTTCCCAGTTATCTAGTGTGAGGTTAGGTCATTTATTTGAGCCTTTTTAAGTTTCTTGATGTAGGCGTGTATGACTGTAAGCTCCCCTCTTAGAACTGCTTTGCTGTATCCCATAGATTTCTGAACACTGCATTTACATTTTTATTTGTCTCAAGATTTTTTTTAACTATGTCTTTGATTTCTCCCTTGACTATTCCTTGACCCATTGGTAGCACATAGTTTAGTCTTCACATGTTTGTGTTTTTTTCACATTTCTTCTTGTAATTGACTTCTAGTTTCATACCAGTGTGGTCAGAAGATATGCTTGCTATGATTTTAACCTTTTTAAATTTATCAGGTCTTGTTCTTGATAAATAGACATTCTCCAGAATAAAGCACGTCTACATACACTTGAGAAAAATGTGTATTCTGCTATTTTTTGATAGAATGCCTTGTAAATATATGTTAAGTCCATCGGTTCTAATAGGTCATTTAAGACCACTCTTTCCTTATTGATTTTCTGTTAGGTGATCTATCCATTGATGTAAAAAGGGTGGTAAAATTCCCTGTTATCTTTGTGTTACCTTAAATGTCTTGCTTCGCATCTATTAATATTTGCTTTATATAAAAAGGTGTTACTATGTTGACTGAATAAATATTTGCAAGTGCTATATCTTCTTATTTAATAGATCCTTTTATCTTTATGCAAAGCCCTTCTTTGTTTCTTCCAACACACTTCATTTTAAAGTCAATTTTGTCTCATATGTGTATGAGGTTTCTTTTTGTTTCCATTTACTTAACATATCTTATCCCATCCCTACATTTTTAGTCTGCAAGTGTCTTTAGATATGAAATGGTCTAAAATGATCTAATGGGCAGCATATAGATTGTTCTTGTTTTTTTAATCCATTCAGCTACTCTTTGTCTTGACTGGAACTTAATGTCATCTTATCCTACCTTTATGTTGCCATTTCACAAATATTCTAAGCATTGTTATATGTTTATATATAATAATGTATAAAATCTCCCAGCATTACACACACATATATGCACACACATACACACACACACATACACACACAACAAAGCCTTCCTTTGCATGGAGATAAGATCCCTACATCAATGTTATAGCAGATGTTTATCCTGAGTAGAGCAACTGCAGAAATGTTATGATGTTATTATGTCTGGAAATTAGTGACTTGATGATGATTGCAAATAGCTTGCCTGTAATAGGAGAATGCTTATTCACAAGGATCTCAAGCCTTGGTGGTCTTTTCCTACTCACCATCTCCCTCCATGTACAAATGGTTCTATTGGACACTATAAGAAACTTGACATTAAACACTTTTCTTCTCAAAATAGGAAATTGTTGCAGATCCATCAATTATCACGGACTCCAATTTCAAAACAGATAGAAAAACCCGCTTTATAATTCATGGATTCATAGACAAGGGAGAAGAAAACTGGCTGTCCAAAACATGCAAGGTGAGATATGGTAATCAATTAAGGGAGGGTTAAGACTGATGATTAGACTGATCATTAACAGACTGATGATTAACAGTGAGGAAGGCACAGGCCCCAACCAATCAGGACAGATGCCAGCCACTATGACACCAGAGAATCACTTGATTCCTCTGGGCCTGGGGTTTCTGGGCGAGGTCCAGAAGGTGGTAGAGGGGTGGAGGGGACTTGGGACAGTCAGGCAGAAAGGTTGCCAAGCATTTGATGGCTCTGTGTAGTAGCTATTTAATAACTAATGCAGAGATATTTCAAATTTTAGCAATGAATGTTGCCATACTGATGCCATATTAGTTGTATTTTCAATAACTTTTAATTTTTTTCAATAGGTTTTAATTTCCATGTGAAGAACTAAGATAACTCATTTTGCCCAAACTAATTGTTTTCCTTTGATTTTCACTTGCCACTCTTTGGTCTCCTATGGAAGCAGTATCTAGGAAAACTCTGTATGTTTTCATTGACGGTTTCTGTTGTTTCAACAGTAGTGATCCAATTTTCTTCAACTTGTCTTTGGCTATATGCCTCATTATAATGAAGAATTAAAAGACAGAAAACCAAACAGAGCAATTTTTTCTAGCAACTGTTGTGCTTGAGGAACATTATCATTGATTCATCTATTCATCAAGCTTCTGTGGCCAGCATGGTGCACAGCTGTGTGCAGCTATTTCTTCAGGGGGCTGAAAAACTAAGACACAAAGATCTTCCTAAACACTTTTAATTTCAGACCTATGACTCAAGCCAAAGACTGGATTGAGTCAACTGTAGAGACTATTTGCTGATCCTGATGATAGTCAAAATTAACAGGCTTTGCTTCACAAGTTCAAAAATAATCAGTAAAACCTTACCTTGTCTTCTAAAATAATTTAAAGCTGATGATAATTGGGGAGAGGGTAGTAATAGATTTTTATACAACAGTGAAGGAAAAAGACTATGATTCCTAGCTCAAAGGGGATGTAAAGTTTTATTTCTGAAATCCCAAAAGCAGGTTTATTTTTCTTGTTTTTTCTTGCATGCTTTGTCTTTGACAAAATGGTTGCTTTAGGATACAGAAATGGGTGGATTAAACTAGAATGTTGGGGCACCTGGGTGGTTCAGTCAGTTGAGCATTCGACCCCTGGTTTCAGTTCAGGTCATGATCTTGGGGTTTGTGAGTTTGAGCCCCACATTGGGCTCTCTGCAGACAGTGCAGAGCCTGCTTGGAATTCTCTCTCTCTCTCTCTCTCTCTCTCTCTCTGTCCCTGCCTTGCTCATGCTCTCTCTTTCTCTCCCTCTCTCTCTTTCTCTCTCCCTCTCTTGGTAAATAAATAAGCTTTAATAAACTTGAAGATTAAAGGTCCTAGACTATAGTTCTGACTCTTTTCTTAGCTAACATGACATTAGCAAATCATTTTCACTCTGAATATTTCTATCTATAAAATAAAAAAATTGGAGATGATTTATAAGATTGCTTTATTCTTCTGAAAGTCTTCTTGGAAAAAAAAGGTGGGGATATGTATAAACATACACACACCCAAACAAACAAAATTCCTGCCAGATCTAACATTCATGAAAGTATCATTGACCCCCATCAAACAAGGCTTCTAGTAGATATCTTGTAGGTTATGCGTTTATGTAAAATAACTCTTCAATTATTTCTTTTCTCTTCCATAAAATTTGACTAGTCTTTCCATTATGTAAAAGCTCACTTATTTACTGTCAGTATATTTATTTGAGAGTCCTCACGTAGGCTTTCATTTATTTATTAGTCCAATAAATATTTATTGAACACCCACTATGTGCTAGGAACTATTTGAGGCACTGAGAGTATAGCAGTGAATAAGACAGGCAATGCCGTGGGGTGCATTTAAATAAGGGACAATGTAGGCTTATGACACTTATGATGCTCTAATGAGACAATCCATTGTACCACATTTTAATATTTTTCCTTTCAACAAATGTCTATGCATGTGTTACAGTAGATATCCCAAGAATCCAATTTCCATTATGGCCAAAACTTCAATTTGGAGCACATGTTAAACTTTTTTGTTTTTAATATTTATTTATTTTTGAGAGAGAGAGAGATAGAGTGTGAGTGGGAGAGGGACAGAGAGAGAAATACAGAAGCCAAAGCAGGCTCCAAACTCTGAGCTATTAGCACAGAGCCCAACCCGGGGCTTGAACCCACAAACCGTGAGATTATGACCTGAGCCGAAGTTGGATGCTTAACTGAGTGAGTCACCCAGGCACCCCAGAGTACATGTTAAACTATAAAAGAAATTTCATATCCATAACAGACTGGAGGTTTTGTTCATTGTTTTGAGGTTAAAAACAAGCTTGATGTTGTATAGGTTCAAGAAGGGAATTTACACTCATTCTCATGTGTGTTATTAATTAATAAACATCTCAAATTATTCACTAATTTATTATGTCTGTTCCATCAGAACTTGTTTACAGTGGAAAGTGTGAACTGCATCTGTGTGGACTGGAAAAGTGGTTCCAAAACCGGTTATACACAGGCCTCGCAGAACGTCCGGATTGTGGGGGCAGAAGTGGCATATTTTGTTGAAGTTCTTCAGGTAATTACCTCCAAGTTATATAAAAGCCCATGCACATCGCTCTCTGGATTCTCCTTCAGAAAAAGAAAAAAAAAAAGTGCCGTAGGTATGATAATTGTGAAAGCCATTTCTCTACTGAAACTTGGCTTTCTATGTGGTTGAAAAGAAATATACAATATCGATCAACCAGTCAATCTAGATTTGGGCTTCATTAATATGCCTATTAAAATCAATAAGCTAGTTCTTTTAGGGGATGTTTCTCAAGCAACCAGGTAGGCTGTTTCTACTGAATCCCACCAGCACTTCTTTTAATTTTATCAGTTATTAAAACAAGTTGGCATGATAAAGTCAACCTTCAGATTAAACTATCTTGTTTTTGGTTTTGTATTTTATATTTTTAACAGAAGCACAATGACAACAAGCGAATCTGATTTGGTAACGAAAACCTTAAAAAATGTTAAACTGGAATGTGCTTAAGTAATTGCTCTTATTATTATTTTCTAACCTGTATACTTGCTTCACCACCTCTGGGTAACAATTCCACAAGAATTTCCTCTACATAGTAAAACTACAAAAGAAAATCCTGCTCCCACCAGTTTAAATGTTAAACCATTGCCATATTCTATTCTGACTGGAAAAAAAAAAAAAGTCCATGAAAATCAGTAGCTTTGAAGGGGCAGCATGTCTTCTTAAAACTCAAATTTTGAGGTCATCTCCTTCTGTGGCCATCTTGAATTTTGAAATATTTGAAAACATTATGAAGAAGTTTTCTTTCCAACAGTCAGCATTTGGGTACTCACCCTCCGATGTCCACATCATTGGGCACAGCCTGGGCGCCCATGCAGCTGGGGAGGCAGGAAGGAGGATCAACGGGACAGTTGGACGAATCACAGGTCGGTCAAACAGTAAAAGCTGAAAAATTGGACTAAACGTTGCCTATATGGGGTATAAAAGGAGAGAAATTCAGCATTTTCTGAATTGAGCCACATGATCAGGAATCCATTCTGAGGACTTGTGAAATTTTTACTAATATTGATCTTTGTCTACAACAGAGCCCTGTCTTTATGCTTTTGTTTGTTTGTTTTTGAGAGAGAGAGAGAGAGAGAGAGAGAGAGAGAGAGAGTGAAAGAGAGAGAGAGGAAAGGGGGGAGGGACAAAGGGAGAGGAAGAGAGCAGGCTTAACTCCCAGCATGGAGCCCGACTCTGGGCTCAATCTTACAATGCTGAGATCATGACCTGAGTCAAAATCAAGAGCTGGATGCTTAACTAACTGAGTTGCCCAAGTGCCCCATCTGTTTAACATATATATATATATATTACATGTGACTAAAATTTGAATTAAGATCAACAGGGAGTCTTATTTACATCTGTTTTCCTGTTTTCAGGCATTCACAAAGGACAAGTTTAATGAATAGAATAAACAGCATAAGGGGCACCTGGGTGGCTCAGTCAGTTGAGGGGCTGACTCTCTGTTTCAGCTCAGGTCATGATCCCACGTTTCGTAAGAGTTTGAGCCCCACATTGGGCTCTGCGCTGATAGCAAGGAACCTGCTTGGGTTTTTCTCTCCTTCTCTCTCTGCCCCTCCCCCACTTCTGCTGTCTCTGTCTCCCTCAAAATAAGTAAATAAACCTAAAAATATCTTATAGAATAAACAGCATAAATAACAAAATAAATAATAAATAGAATTAAATCCGAAGAGCTCAAAAACGTATAGTTAATTATATTCTGCTTTGATAGCAATCAATAATAAGCCTAATCCTCATCCACCACAAGCTAAGAGTTACAGGAGACAGGTGGTCAGGCCAGGCTGACCAGTCCTGCATGCTGCTAGTTAGATAAAAAGTATTATTTCACAAATCTCAGACTGGTTGCTTCTGGCCAATGGGGCCATATGTTGTATACTCAGGCCCTAAAACGACCTTGTAAATTTGTAGGAAAGACTGCTTTCCTAGAGCTGAGAGATGCCTATTTCAGGGAGCAACCGCTTTTCTTTTCCATCTTTGAGCTCTCTCTCCAACCTTCTGATTCTTTTTTTAATACTTAGGACAAACTGGTCATGTTTGGATTGGTGGGGGCATCCAGATGTCTATCAGTAATTTGCTGGAGAGAACATCCTTCCTCGTAGTCCATGAATGTTTACAAGAGTCTACTCAGCCAGGCAGTTTGTGAAGTTGTGGTCCTGCTGACCATGAATACTAAAGTCCTTGCCCTTATAGGATTTTACAGTATAGTAGGGTAGGTGTGGAAGGGGAGACTCTTTTAGCCTGAACAACTTTTAGTAATCTCATGTTTCCCAGAGTTCCCTGTAACTGCTGCTAGTGGCCAGGATTGTCCCAGTGACTAGGCATTCATATGGAGAGCCAGATTCCATGGGTTGAGAAAAATGTGCTGTAATTCAAATACTAAATTAGACACAGAAAGTCTAAGAAAATGACAAAGTAGGGAAGAACTAGCTTATCTTTTTCTACACAAAAGTCACGGTTCTCACCAATGCTTGCACTTGGGTAGCTAATTAATGAAGAAAGGTGAATGCAAACACTGATATTAATAAGACACATCCTACCTACTTTAGGACTGGATCCAGCTGAACCTTGCTTTGAGGGCACACCTGAATTAGTCCGACTGGATCCCAGTGATGCCCTATTTGTGGATGTCATTCACACAGATGCTGCCCCTGTAATCCCCAACATGGGTGAGCTCTTCAATTCATCCTCCACGAGTGTTTATTGAGTCTATACATTAGAGTGCTTTAGAGTGTTTCGACTCTATACATTAACATGAACTTTCTCATATTTTAAAATTTCTCAGGATTTGGAATGAGCCAAACTGTAGGCCACCTAGATTTCTTTCCAAATGGAGGAAAAGAAATGCCCGGATGTCAGAAGAACATTCTCTCTCAGATTGTTGACATAGAGGGGATCTGGGAAGGTAAAACCATTATGGACATGAAGAGACTTTCTTAGGGCAATATCTATGTTTCGCTCTGCTAAACTTGCTAAATATTTTGGTACAGGTCTCACATTTTCTGTAACAATGGACTTTTAACACGAAATATAGGTTTTCACTGAGGAAAGTTGGGCATGAGGAGACTCTAAGAAAGAAAATGTAATTGTAGTCAACTTTCCAAGGATCTAATTCAGGGAATGCATTACTAAGTTGTACTTATACCTATGTGGACCCATCTTTTCCTTCTAAAGTTACTTTTCCATTTACTATTACTATTAAAATTTTAATAGTACTTAACTCTGTTCACATCACAAATCATAAATACTCTTCATCCATGATTTTGTTCTGTGACCACCATGAGTTCACATTAATTAGAAAAATCTACTCAACAGCTGTGTTCTAATCATAACATTAACTTGGAAAAATAAGATCGGTTGCTGATGTGTAAACCATGTCTGATTTCCAAGGGACTCGCGACTTTGTGGCCTGTAACCACCTAAGAAGCTACAAGTATTACTCTGATAGCATCCTTAACCCTGATGGCTTTGCTGGATTCCCTTGTGCCTCTTACAATGTTTTCTCTGCAGTAAGTAGATTCCACTTTGTACCTAGACTTTGTGACCATCACATCTAATGACTGGTATAGTTCACTGTACATGACATGCACTCAGTGAATGTCACTATATGATTTCCACATTATTTATACTTTTAAACACACACATTTTTAATTTTTATTTGAAGTATCATTGACATACATATTTACTGTAATAGTGATAAGGCATTGGAGAACTTTAGAGAAATGGGCTTGTATGCTGAGATGTCCCATGTCCACCTTGTTCTCTATCACTTTGGTATGTATCGCGTAAATGCTCAAACTTGTCTTAGAAATAATTGTAAGTAAAAAAAAAGTAGTCTATGGAAATCTGAGCTATGGCTCCTGGATGTTGATAAATATGGAAAACTTGTCTTAAATGCTGATCCCATAGAACTATATTATTATGGGCATGTGGATATTTCTGTGCAAATTTATAATTGCTAAGTTTTTATTTTTTGCTTATTTGCTTGACTTTGAGTTTTCATCTTGTTTGGTATTCACTAGATATCTGGGTTAGAATCCTTAAATGTGATCTTGAAAGTGATGTATCTATTGCCTATTATTTAAAAAAATTTTTTCAACATTTATTTATTCTTGAGAGACAGAGAGAGAGCATGAGCGGGGGAGGGGCAGAGAGAGAGAGGGAGACACAGAATCTGAAGAAGGCTCCAGGCTCTGAGCTGTCAGCACAAAGCGTGATGTGGGGCTCAAACTCACGAACCATGAGATCATGACCTGAGACAAAGTCGGACGCCTAACCGACTGAGCCACCCAGGTGCCCATCGTTTGTTATTTTTTATTGCTCTTCCTTTTCACTATAAATTTTTTCCAAACAAAATATGTAAGCTATGTCATTTAGTAAATAAAATTTTAAGTAACATGCCAGGTGAAGTCATAATTACTAAGGATGTATAACTTAGTGATGTAGAGAAAGGATATGAAACCTGATTTCACCATTAATGGTTGAATGATTTGGACAGAATTTTTAACCTCTCTAAGGCAGTTTTTTCATTTCTAAATGTAATAATAATGGGAGACTCTAAATGTTTGGTGGGAGGATTTGATGAGATGATATGTTTTAATTGCTTAGCCCAGAATTTAATATAATAATCAGCATTCAACAAATTTTGGCTATATGTGTGTCTGGGATCCATATTTTATTCACAGTATAGCTTATGTACACAAGAACACCAACCCCTTTCTTTTGTCTAACTTTATTTTTATCTTGTTCCCAAACCCCCCATCTCTATGTAATGGGAAAACAAGCATAGAAGTTTCAGGTTTCATTCAATTAAAATTTAGTCTGATACAGTAATATATTTAGTCCTTTTAGATGGTGCTCAGACACTTTTTTTTTGAGAGAGTGGGGGGGGGAGAGAGAGAGTGCATGCACACAAGTGCACATATGAGCAGGGAAAGGACAGAGGGAGAGGGAGAGAAAGAGATAGAATTTTAAGCAGTCTCCACACCCAGTACAGAGCCCAACATGGGGCTCTCAAGACCATAAGATCATGACCTGAGCTGAAATTGAGACTTAACCTACTTAACCACTTAACCTACTGAACCACCTAGGCAACCTATTCAGACACTTGTGTAAGAAAATGTTATCAGTTGGGGTATCTGGGTGACTCAGGAGGTTAAGCATCTGACTTTGGTCATGATCTCATGGCTCACAGGTTCAAGCCCCATGTTGAGTTTGACACTCAGACAACTGAGCTGACAGCTGACAGGCTGACAGCTCAGAGCCTGGAGCGTGCTTCAGATTCTGTGTCTGCTCTCTGCCCTCCCCTGCTCATACTCAGTCTCTCTCTCTTTCAAAAATAAATAGAAACATTTTTTAAAAAAAGACAATATTATCGGTTTTGAATATATCTCAGCCTTTGGACCTCTTCATCAGCTTCTCTCCAAGATGGTATTGGGCAAAATGATCGTGATGGTGGTGGTCAGTGTGTGTATGGGGGGTCCGCATTTTTGATGGGCATGATGTTGGTGTCTGCAGATAATGTCTAGACACATCTATTCTTCTAGCTTGGCCAACTTCCCCAGATAGCCTTGGCCATTTCTTCTTGACTGGCTCAGTCTCCCATTAGCTTTTGCCGGCTGCAGACCCCGACACTTGGTCCAGTTCCCATCTGGCTCACTGACCCAAGAATATGCCCCTTGCCTCCATCATGGAGCAGGCTTGCCCCTCCACAGCAGAAATTGTGATGTCTGTCTTTCCCACTCTGTTTCTCCCTTTCCCTCTTTTCTTCCCACAATTCCTTGGCCAAGAAAGGGGACATTTTTCTATGTGATACATCTTCTCCACACCCCAACTTCACAGCTATGACTTAAGGGCCAACTGGGACATTTTCTGTTCACATTGGGAAAACTCTGAGATCTGAATCCTTCAGACCTTAATATGGGAAGCAGAAGCTAAAAATTTTGAGAAAAAAGCTAACTTTTGACCCTTTCATCCTACTAATGGGCCTAATTTTGCATATCAGAGCTCATCATCAACCCCTGCTCTTTCTTTTGCAATCTTTCTAAAATAAATTCTAACCACCTGTAGGCAGATGGATGTCTTGGGGCCACCTGAGCAACTTAAAAAGGCAAGAGATAAGATTAAAGTATATGTAGAAATATGTATCTGAAGTCCCTTCTTCTATGATTTTTATAATATTTTTGTATCATGTAATTAAACAGTAAAATCACTGACTTATCATTGTGACTAATGAAATGCATGTTTAACCTTTGCTGAGATACTATGGAAGTCCTCTGTTGCCATCAGTACAGAATTGGCTTTACAATTTCTAAATTGCAATAACATGTGGGAAAAGATGGTACGCTAATAAGAGTATCCTTATTCATCATTTGTTCATTTCCCCTAGAACAAGTGCTTCCCCTGCCCAAGTGAAGGCTGCCCACAGATGGGTCATTATGCTGACAGATTTCCTGGAAAAACAAGCAAAACGGGCCAGGTATTTTATCTAAACACTGGTGATGCCAGCAATTTTGCCCGTAAGTTTCTATTATATTTGCCTTAAATTCCTAATGCTACATATTTTATCATGTTCGGTGAAAATGTGTGAAATTGCTCTTCCACAGAAAAGTTGTACTCTTCCCAAACATGGAAAAATATTCAAAAGTTATCATGCTCAATGTACCTTTGGCTCAATGGGGCAACAGAACGGAGTTTTGGGGACCTGAACTAAAATGATACCAAGGTTAATTCCTTCATATTTGAACTCAGGAGGCTTCTTCTGTTCCAGGCTGTTCCAGGTTTCCCTAAAAAAAAAAATTGTGAGGTTTTGTACGAACAGAAAAGTAATCCAGGAGAGAGATGGTAGAAGTTATGGGATTGGAAGGGAGTTGACAGACTGAAGACTCATGGAGGGTGGTAGCCTCCATGAGTGACAGGAATTAGAGGGTGCAGGGATGGTAAGGCATGGGGACAGACTCCAAGTTTCCTTCCTGGGTCACAGAGGAAGAAAATTACTGGAGTCAGTGGAGTTGACTGCACTGTAAAAACCAAAGCCAAGTTTAATTCCCTCCTCAGTTTGACCCAGGCTAGCTCCAACTGGCATAAACTGCTAGTTAACTATTGACTGGTACCATAAAGTGGTTACCCTAACTTAATCCATTTCCAAAGCTGAATTAAAAACTTTTTAAAATAAGTGTAGACAATTTAGACCTGTGAAAAAGAATTGATGAAAATGTTACATTCTACCATTTTCCTACTTTCTTTTTACAGAAAGTTCTTATAATAAAATAAATTGCTAGGTCAAAAAATTGAAAGCAAAATATATGACTTAGTTACATTACTTGAAATTTCTTGATTTTGGAAAGATTCTGAGCTCTTCTCCTGACCCCACATCTGTCTTATGAATATTTAAATAAAGGAGTATCTATGACTATTTCCTTAGAAGAACAGTCTATACCGAAGCCCTGGGTGGCTCAGTTGGTTAAGCATCTGACTCTTGATTTTGGCTCAGGTCATATCTCATGGTTGGTAAGATTGGCCCCGTGTCAGGCTCTGTGTTGACAGTGTGGAACCTGCTTGGGATCCTTTCTCCCTCCCTCTCTATCTGCTCCTCCCCCACTCATGTTCTCTCTCTTTCTCTCTCTCTCTCTCAAAATAATTTAGCCTGTTTTCAGAATATCTTCTGTATAATCTGACATTTCACAAATATTTTCACCATTTGCAGGCTGGAGGTATAAGGCAGCAGTCACACTATCTGGAAGGAAGGTTACAGGACACGTGCTAGTTTCTTTGTTTGGAAATAAAGGAAATTCTAAACAATATGAAATTTTCAGGTGAGTAAAATATTACTCTAAGCTTCCTAAGTGTTGGGATGTTATGTACATATAACACATGTTATGGACATCAGCGTTTATTCATAACCATATGGGAGTATAGGACCACCACATATCATTCCAAAGAAGAAATTGTTTTACTTTGCACCTTAATACATTTCAGAATTCTGTATCAGAATTTTCTTTGTCAGAATTTTCCTGAGAAAGCCACTGATGTCTGCTTTGATTCATGGCATCTGATTTATAATCAGTAAATAATTATTCTGTCAACCTAACAACCAGGAAAAGATGATATGATGATGTCATCACTTATTAAATTGTGGGAGAATTGTGACCAAAACATATCTGAAGTTTTATTGAAATAAGGATGACGTTAAAGTAATATGAGTTATTGCTGGCAAATAATCTGCCACTAAGCTACCATACATGTTGGCATCTACTTAATAGATTAGAATGGCAAATGTACTTCAATCATCTTACTAGAGATGCATTGTCAGCTAGTTTTAGAGACATATATGTATATATCAATATATGTATTTTTGTATGTTCACATAATGTTTTCATTAACTTCTCAACTCCCAAGGGGCACTCTCCAACCCGATAGCACTCATTCCAATGAATTTGACTCTGACGTGGATGTTGGAGATGTGCAGAAGGTTAAATTTGTTTGGTACAACAAGGTGATCAACCCAACCCTACCCAGAGTGGGAGCATCCAAGATCATGGTGGAAAGAAACGATGGAAAAGTGTAAGTAATAAAAATCCAGAGAGATTTGCAGTATTGGGTCACTTTTGTAATTCTATTCCCACTGGAAGTCTACTTTAAGTTAAATCTCCTTTAGTGGTTCTCCCACACCATGGTCATAATTGCTTCCTAGTCCCTTCTGTTTCTTTAGGAAAAAGAGCAGAACGTTAGGGGGAATAACTTTGAGAGATTTGTAGATGAGTATGTGTTATTTGATACAAGTGTTAAAATGAGAATCTGTCTTCACGACCCTAAGTTAAAAAGAATGATTTCATTTAGCAACTGTGTGTGACAGCAGATCACTGGTTGCCTGGGGAGAGGAGAGACAGGAGGGGATGAGGAGAGATTACAAAGCAACAGGAGTGTAATTGGGTGTAATGAATATGTTTACTCTCTTGGTGGCAGAGATGGGATAGAAGGACTACTCTTATCCCCTTAACAAATAATTAAATGAAGACTCAGTGCCATAATTTGTGGACAGGAAATTTGACTCCATCAAGTTGCTAACTACCACCAAAAAAATTCGTTCACCTTTATTTATATATAGATAGTGTGTGCCCTTCTTTTCTTGTGCTCTTTATCAAGATTAGTGTTTAACCTTTAATGTGCTATTTGAAAACCTGCCAGCCATCAGACCACAGGGAGGGAAATGAAGAGGAAGAGAAAAAGAGCATCTTCTCAGCACCTTGTCTGTGCCAGGCACTTTATGTATGCTTCCCTATGTTATTAAAGAAAATTAGCTTCCAAGCAAACTGAGTATTGTTTAGTCTTAATGGGTAATGCTCGTCAGTTTCAATTCAATGATTGAATTGAAATAAGAATGCCTAGTGAATGTAATACCAGGACCTCAGAAATATCCCTCTGGCTGATTTCTCATGATACTGCTGACCCTACTTTTCCTCAGTTGTGTTGACTTACCATGTGCCAAGTGCTTAGTAGGTGTTTCTAGAATATGACAAATCAATACTCACTGTCCTTAGGGGTGTCCAATGAAACCACCTCCCTCTGCTATTGCACAACCATGAGAGCACTGGAAAGGAGAATTCAGTCCTTTATACAGAAGAGGTCTGTCTTCCTTTGACCAATGTCCAGTCTCAGGCACATGGAGTGGCTCTCACTCAGACTGGGGAGAGTAGAGGCTGTCTTTATGCTCAACACACCAGTTATTTACCAGGAAAAGCTGATTTTCTGTTGTTTTCTCTCTCCAGGTTCAATTTCTGCAGCCAAGAAACTGTGAGGGAAGATATTCTGCTCACTCTTACCCCATGTTAGGAGCAGCTGACATATGACCACTGCACCTTACTGCTAATAAAATCTGCTGGCAAAGCAATCCATTCCTTTGTCATCATGTCCATTTTTTCCACTGTAACTTTTGTACAATGTGATTAAAATCCAAAATCTGGAGTTAGTCTGAAAAACCACAAATGACTATTGAAGCTGGATGCATATTATGTGGCATTTGAGCTTGGGAATATTGTTTAATTAGCACGGACATTATGTCCATTGCTAATATTACTGATGTCATTCTGATCACTTAAGGCAGACTTCCAGATCCAAGATGACCCCCTCCTGGTGTGCACATGGCAAGAACCAATCTTTGCCACTTTCCCATCTTCTTTACATTTGTTGGAGTTAATCAGACATCTCAGAAGAGATGACACATAAAGAGAGAAGGACACAGCAGATCCAATGCTTCCTAACCAGTCCCCCCACTTCCAGTGAGGTCCCCCCTCAGGCTCCTTTCCTCTCTGCAGCTTTTTTAATCTTTCTAAAGCACAAATCAAAAACCCTCCCGGTGGTCTCCAGGAACCGAGGACTCTAACATTATCTCTCACCATATTCCTTCTAGAAATCTACTTTCTGGCACTGCCTCCCAAAGGGCCTTGATCTTGGATGGCAGTGGACCTTTGCACAAACTATTTCTCTCCTTAAGATGTGCTCCCTTTGTCTTCCTGTATGTTTAACTCCTACTGGGTCTTAAATCTGTGTGTAGAGAGCATTTCTTCCAGGAAACCTTTCTTCACGTCTACTACCACATCCACTAAGACTGGATTCGAGGCTATCCCACTGCCTTACTGCCACACCTAGAACTTCCTCCATCTAAGCATTTATTTCTGTATATCATAATTGCTGGTTTACTCGTCTGCATATCTCTCCTTAAGGGGGTTTGTAGCTGGCAAAGGCCTGGCATGTAGTAGGACACCAAATAAATATTTTCTGAATGGCCATCTCACTAATGGAAAGAATGAATGACTCCACTAGAGTGGACATTAGGCCATGTTCAATAACTAATATCCTAAAATAGAGACATCTCTGTTAGGTCCTGAAAGGTGGGTGGGGATTTGCCAAGAAGACATGATAGGAAGGGCACTCCAGAAAGAGAGAACCACACAGTCAAAGACACAGAGATGTGAAAATGCTTTTCATTCTGTGTTTCACCAAAGTATATGCAAGTTCATCAACACGTGAAGACTTGTTCTGAGAATCATTAATCTGTATTGATGAGGATGCTTTCACTTGCATGAACAGAAAAAGCTCCAATTCAAACTGTCATAAACCACAAGGAACTGTACTGATTCACATGATTGGGAAGCCCAGAGGTGGGGAAGCTTCAGGTTTGGTTGCTCCAACAACTTGATGACCTTTCCAAGAGCCACTTCTTTTCTCTTCTTATGCTCTCTTGTCTACGGTGTCTAACAGTTTTATACCAAGGTAGGCTCCTGTCCCAGTTGAAGAAGGGCCATTTACCACCATTAGGGTTATACAGACCTTCCCTGTCACATCCAGTAGGAGACAAAAAGTGCATCTCCCTCCCCATCTTCCCAAACAAAATCTCTGAGGTTCACTCTGATTGGCCAGTGGCCTGAGAAATAGAATGTGCTGATTCGCTTAACACCAGTCAGGGTACACTCCTGGACAAGGTGTGAAGCCAGCATCTGCAACACACATGAATCGTGTGGTGGGGGAATGAATATCTGAATGAAAGGGAAGACTCTTGCGGCTTTGGCCAGAGCAACTGGAAAGATCGAGATGCCATTGACTGAAATGGGAAATGCACTGGAAGGAACTGATTTGAGGAGGGAGGGTAGGTTTAGCCATGTCAGATTAGAGATGCTCATCAGATATCCAATGGGATGTCAAGTGAACAGTTAAATATATGAGCATAGGGTTGAGGGTAGATTCCATGGTTACAATGTAAACTTTGGTGTCTTCAATGTATGCATGAACTTTTTTAAGCACTGCATTTCCAGTAAAGAGGTTAGCACCATGCTTAATACGTGTTGAGTACTTAATAAATGTTTTTAATTATAATTACTATGAATACTCCGTGGACTTTTTCTATAACACACTAATAATGATGAACAATGAATAATAAAAGAAATGAATAAAGAGAATGTCTGCAAACTTACTCAAGTAACAAGATGGAACAAAGGATTTTAAAAGAATTTAATCTTAAAAAATGCATCTGTTAAAAGCCCTCTTGTTAAGAAGGGTATCCATTTTCATCATAATGAAGCTGTTTGCAAATTACTTTGTTTTAAATGAACTGTTTACTCAAATCATTTACTTATTTCTGATCTCAGTAAACATTTAGAAACTAGTCCTTATTTCTAGGTCTATTCAAATCAAAATTTTTTTCTTGCCTTTAGGTACGAGTTCTATACCCATTTGAAAGGATGAACCCACCCATGTATCAATGGTTCACTTTGAGCATGTGATTTTTAGCCTGTTTCTTGCTGGACTTTCTTTTTTGGGGGTTGGATGTTAAGAGCTGACGGCATCAACTCTGTGGTTCAGCCTGCCCCTCTAAAAGGTCTTTCAGAAGGCAACTGACTGCCCCTTCCGTTTCCTTTTTGTTTTTCCTAACACATGCATTATGCTAACAGTGTGCCAGGCACTATTCTAAGTGCTTTATGTATATTTACTCATTTAATTCTGACAATACACTAGAAGGTAGGTGCTCTTATCCCCTTTTTCAGGAGAAGCAGCTGAAGCACAGAGAGTTTATCATACAACTTGTCCAAGGTCTCAGGCTATTTACTAATGGATTTAGGTTTTCCCAAGAACATTGTAATGTAAAATTTTTCATGTGTCCCTCTTGGTCTGCTGGACTACTCAGTGCCCTTTGGCCAGCCTCATTATTCCTTCTCCAGGATGCCAGGATCCATTGCTGTTTTGTGTAACAGCTGATGAGGTTCAAGACTCTGCAAAAGTATTTCTTCTTTTCCCAAATTCCCGTAGCACTCTTTGTACATATGGACATGCACGCGCGCGTACGCGCGCACACACACACACTACAGCCAAAGGAAAGGTGAGAGAAATATAAAAAGTACACTCCCCAAATGATAGCAAGTAAAAAATTAACATGTTTTTGCCTACTATCTATGTAGCTGTAAGTATCTACTGCCTTGAACTTCCAAAACACCTTGAAGCTAACGTATGGTGCCATGATAAGGGTTTATAGGAACATTCAGTGCAAATAATAGGGTGAATGTTTGCCTAGATGGTGACAGACTATGGGAGGGCACTGCTTGGTAGGTAAGTTACCTGGTACTTCCTGAATAGGTAGAGGCACCCCAAATAAAAGTTTATTTTCTAACCCTTGGGCAGACCCAACTCATACCGCCATACATAGCTGTGCTGCCTCAAGAGCTCTGAGAATTCAGAGTTTCTGACTTCATGGCAACTGCAGATTTGACCTGCTGCTCTTCTAGGACCCTCACTGGTCTCATCACCTAGGGCTGTTACATGGTCTCTGCTCTCACCTTGACTTTCCTCTCCCCTAATTCACATAAGCCACTTGTATAAATGGTGATAAGTTCTGGAAGTTTGGGAAGATAGGAGAGTATTACTTTTGAAGCAATGTGAGCAACCTGCCCTTGAGAACCCCGTCACTGGTCACTTTTCCTCAGGCTCCATAACTGCCTAGAAATGCCTCCTCAACTTCTCTAGACCCCTCTTTGATTTTTACCCCACTCCCAAACTCCTGATCCTACTTTGTGCACAGAGACTTAGCAGGGTTTTCTAGTATTGGAACTCATCTCCTCCAACCAAAGTGGATCATGGAATATTTTCCTAAATAAAGGTTGTGTTGCCCCAAAAAGAACTTGGACTCTAACTGTTAAAATAATGGCTTCCTGTCTCTACTATTTAGATATCATTTGAATCCAAGCTGATTCATGTATCCCTCTTCAAAGACTCAAAATAATTCCTTTTATCTTGATACACAAAGACAACAGCAATAAAAAATAGCTGAGAATAAGGGAATCCACTCTATGATATGAATTACATAAATTTGCATCCCACAAATAGTTCACTTCAGCACACACACGTACCATATACACACACTCTAAGTAATAAATCATATACAGGCCTAGTGTAGGTTACATATAAGGTTTACTACCAACTTCTCTGCTCTAAGGTACAGATGAGACTTTAGCCAAAGGTGGCTGATCATTGTCTCTGGTTCTGGCCTGAACTTTTCTTTTTCAACTGCTTGTCCTGATCTGTTTCTATGCCTGTGTCAGTGGGGTCTTCTTTTTGTTTTAATGTTTTTATTTATTTTTGAGAGAGAGAGAGACAGAAACAGAGAGAGGGAGAAAGAGAGGGAGAGAATGAGTGGAGGAGAGGCAGAGAGAGGGGAAGAGAGGATCTGAAGCAGGATTTGCACTGACAGTAGTGAGCCCAACATGGGGCTCAAACTCACAAATGGTGAGATCATGACTTAAGCCAAACTCGGACTCTTAACCAACTGAGCCACCCAGGTGTCTCATCAGTGGAGTCTTCTGAGAAGCAGACCCCAAGATGGGATCAGATTTATTCAGGGAAATATCTATGAAGATTTATTCTGGGAAATGTCTATGAAGGAGACATTTGTGAGAACAGACAGGGAGAATCGTCATACTGTAATGTAGGTCTGACACCCGTGAGAGGAGAGAAGGAAGGAAAGACTGGAAAAGAGTCTCAGCCTCATCAAAGTTCTGAGAAAGTCTGGGCCAGGTTCATGGAGAGTCTCCAACTGAAGCCGGCCCTTTGCAGGAATCCTACTTCAGGTAGGAGTGGATGGGCTCTGGGACCTGTGCCATGCTCACTCAGTCTTTGGCTGAGGACAGCTGGCAGAGTGTAGCCTCTGTATCAGTGTTGTGGTGGGTCCACAGGGTGGCATCTGGGCTCCTGCAGCTGATTCTCCCGAAAGGATCTGAGTGGCACATCTCTGTGGCTACCACCGTGTCCCACCTTGTTCCTTTTCAGGTTTCTCCAGAAGTGATGCCAGCTTGGTCATTTCCTCATTAGAACTAAAATTAAGTATAT